ACCTATGTAAGAGATGTTCAGCTGCCAAGAAAGTAGCCAAGCTGTGCCATCACCAGCAGACCCAGAGTATAAATCCCGTATTAAAAAAACGTTGGTGCAACTTCATTGCAGAAGCCTGGTATTTGAAACATTACCTCATAATAGTGCTGTATATCCAATTGTAATAACATCTCCAAGCGCTTTGCAGGATTTCACTGTAAAGTGTAGTGACTGTCTATTTGAGGACAAATGGGGCAGCCAATTTGCACACAGCAATGCCCAACAAACAGCTATGAAGTGTATAACCATTTTTTTCTGGGAGATTGGTGGCCAGGCTCCCAGGGGAAACTCCATTCTGTTTTCAACTAGTCACATCAAATCTTTAACGTCCACCTGAACATGCAGACGGGACCTGAGTTTTTATGTCTCCTCCAAAGTACGACACCTGAGACAATGTAGCACAATGCAATTGCTTTCTTCTCCCGACCCCTAAAATAAGGTTGGATCAAGGTTGGATTAAAGTACTTGCAGAAGAGAGAGGGATGGGGTAAAGAGCATGTTATCTTATCGCATTGAAGCATCTCAAAATGCTTTACAGTAATTACTGTCAAGTATATTGTCCATTTTCATAGCCAAACGTGTTTTGCAGTCGACTTATCTCCAAAGAAAAAGGGCCATCGTTCGCTGGACTGTATCAATTTGAACTACTGGCAGCTTGATTCCAAGACTTCTGTACGTAGATCCTGTAAGCTTCATTCACCCTCCTAAATTGAACAAAGTTGATTTAGTAAGAAATACTTCAAATGAAAGAAACTAGGGATGCACCTGTCATCTAATAATAATCCTTATATTTGATTAGATGATAATTTCTAATTGCGCTTTATCACGTCATCCAGACATCTCAAAGGGCTTCATAGAATATACTGTAAAGTGAATTGACTATGTTTTGTGGGCAAAACGGGGCAGCCACTTGTGCACAGCAGTGTCCCACAAGCAGTCGTGGATTGGGTGACCAAATTATTATTATTTTATTTTGTATTTATTTGGAAAAGATTATTACCCCCGGAAAAGTGATCCGCCAATCGACTAACAACCGGGTTCCTACTTACTGCTGAGTAAACAGAGGCATGTGGAGTAAGGAAACTTGCCTAACGTTTCGCCCTGCCCGGGAATCGATCCCAGGTCATTCACTTCATGGCTGTTTGTGGTACATTTCTGTACACAAATTGGCTGCTTCATTTGCCTACAAATACAGAGTCACTAGAGAGAAAACTCTCAGAAGCACCTTGAGACATTTTATAATAATAAAATAATCCTTGCATTTGATATAGTGCCTTATCATTGCTTATCATTGCTCAAGACAGAGGGCGAAACCTTGGGCAAGTTTCCTTACTCCACACAGAGCCTAATAATAATCCCTCCAAAACTAAAAACAATAATTAAATTGGTCATTTTCAATCTACGACTGTTTGTGGGACATTGCTGTGCGCAATTGGCTGCCGCGTTCGCCCACAAATATACAGTCAATTCACTTTACAGTGTGTTCTGTGAAGCGCTTTGGGACGTCCTCCCGACGTGAAAAGCGCTATATCAAATGCAAGGATTATTATTATTATTATTATTATTATTATTATCATGTCTTTGAGACATCTCAAAATGCTTTACAGAATATACTGTAAAGTGAATTGATTGTATATTTGTGGGTGATTTTGTATACTTCGACACAATACACTATATCTAATAAATTCGAATATTATATAAATGTAAAACATTTCTTTGAAAATTCTGTAAAACCGTATTGTATCAGTAAGGCTGGGTGACTAGTAAGTGATGTTCTAAATTCGGCAATGAAAATCTTTTTGCTCATTGCATTATAGGAGTAGTTCTGCCACTGAAGCTTAGATATGATGTGTGGAAAGGTTGTGGTAATTGAAATAAGGCGACAACATAACTTACCTTATTCTGGCCTAAGCTACCTTTAAGCAGTCACATTTGATGCTCCTTAATTACAGCACATTTTTTCTTTCCAGGTTCTTTTCCACCTCAGCAATCAAGACAATACATTTGCTTACCGTGCTGCTCCTCTAAGTGTTCTTTTGCATGTAAATTAATCTTGATTCAGTTTACACTGTCATGCTGAGTGGTACAAATTGCCTATAACAATAAAACAGCATGAGTAAAAGGCAGATTGAATGTGCGCCTCACTTGATAGGATGTTACTACGCTTTATGCCAATACATTAGCTGAAGATAATGAATCTTCTGTTCTGAAAAGCATGGTATAGTTGATTTTTAATTTTACTTCAATAGAGCAGTACCTTGTCTTTTAAAGAACAAGTTAGGCAAACCATTAATGACAAGAGCGTTAAGGTTAAATATGAAGCAATGCATTCACTTGTCTTGAATGCTATCCATCTTTCCATTTACAGCAGGTTGACAAAAGTACAGGCTTTGTGCAGCATTTCCTTTAATTACAAGCTGGGGGAGTGGACTTTTAACATAAACAGTTACATTAATTTATTCAGCATTTGCTCTTGAATAGAGGTTGATGAAGGTAGCGTGAGTGCATGCTTTTGCAAATATCTTACACCAATTTGCCTGTAACTGGGACTTGTCTTGGCCAAAAGTGCCTTACAAACCTGGTGCTGTTTTTACTGTTCAGGTCACTGCAGTAAATGTCTTCCATTTTTGTTACTTTGTGTTCGCTTTATAAAATGTGAATCCAGCAGCCTTGTCTATTACCTGAACATTTTATAAAATACAGTACAAATTGTAGTTCAAATATATTTTAACTGTTTGTTTGGGTGGAGATATGTGGAAATTGAAAATCTACTGGCCCTCTTTTGACATTAGTTTGTTGAATATAAACGCAACAGCTTGCACTTTATATCATGACTTGAGCATCTCAGACCATTCACAAAAAGATGGGAATCGTCAAGCAGAGGAAAGGAGGGTGGTTGTACAGTGTTGACCAAAGGCCTGGTCAAAGTGATGTATTTTAAGAGGATTTTGAAGGCAACTCCTTTGGGTGAAAGAACCTGTGGCTGGTACCGCATACAAATCAGTTGTGCTGAGCGAGCTGGGACTGAACTGTTGTCTGGTTCTCAGGTCGTTCTGTCTTTCACAAAAGTAAATGCAGGTTCTCGTGTGTCCATGTAATAATAATAATAATCCTTGCATTTGATATAGCGTTTTTCATGTCTTCAAGGCGTCTCAAAGCGCTTCACAGACTATGTTGTAAATTGAATTGACTGTATATTTGTGGGTGAAATGCGACAGCCAATTGCCCACAGCAGCGTCCCACAAACAGTCTTGGATTGAGTGACCAAATTATTATTGTTTTTTCTTAAGGGATTATTATCAGGCGTGTGGAGTAAGGAAACTTGCCCAAGGTTTTCCCTGCCGGGAATCGAACCCAGGTCTCACTCTTGTGAGGCGAGTGCTCTAACCACTGAGCTACAGGACTCTTCAATATAGTAGATCGAATAGGGAAATTAGAAGGAATATCTTCAGGCAGAGGATGGCGAGTATATGGATCTCACTGGAATCTGTAATTGAAGCTAAAAAGCATTTTAGTTATTGATAATTGTAGTGACTACTGCTTGTTCAATAGAATGTCATGCTATGGGATGTTCATATTGAATTAAATGTTAATACTCCATGGTTGTGAAAGCCTAAATTTAGTGGCTTAAATTTTTCATGGCTTTATAGTCATTGACAAACCTTAACTTAAGATCATGAGGTTCGTGGGCTTCAGTTGCTCTGCATAGCAATTTGCTAACAACTGCCCCTTCCAGTGTTTAGAATCCTCTCCTTTATTCCCTTATCCCCTTCTCCCTCATGCATACATTTCCTCTTGAATACATTGATGCTTTTTAGCTTCAATTACAGATTCCAGTGAGATCCATATACTCTCCACCCTCTGCCTGAAGATATTCCTCCTAATTTTCCTGTTCGATCTACTATATTTGTGCCCTCTTATTTTGAATTGCCAACAAATGGAAACGACTTACCAACAAACATTTAATTGAATCCATTCATAATCTTAAACATCTCTATGAAATCCCCTCTTAAATAGTCTTGCTAGGAAAACAACCACAGTTTCAAGATAGCTCCCAGCATAACAGTTCCTTACGTCCACGGCTGCTGGTTGTCTCTCAGCCCGTTGTTTACCAGGTTTATATGGAGAGAGAAGCATAGCTCCTTGCTTTATCTTGAGAGGTTTTAAGCTTCAGTTGGACTAAAACTTTTAGTTCCATAACTTTTTGACAAAGTGAGTAGCACTTAGGCCTCGCTATCTGGATAATTTAGTCCCAATTCCCATTTTGATGATTTTCGAGAAGTAGAAATGTTTATGATATTATGGTAATTGTGTACTAAAATGTTATGAATTCAAAATACTGTAGTCATTACACATTGCAGTATATTCTGTGGACCACTTTGAGACATCCTCCAGATGTGAAAGGAGCTATATCAAACGTAAGGATGATTTATTATTATAATTGCCTTTTCTACCTGAGAAGAAAATGTATCAAAGGAAATATGGCAACAGATTGAGCTTGTTTGTAAATTCTAAAAGTACTTTTCAAACGAGTGCTTGTTTTTACATTTCTGAGATAATGTTCCATTTTTAAAATGTTATTGGGTAGAATTAAAGGAGAATAATTACCAAATTAGTAACATGATTCTCTGTGTATGAAGAAAACAATTCTGCTTGTTTCAAATTGTGTGGGAATGATTCAAATTCTCTGTGTTGTTATTTTATGCAGAGTTTATAAATGCATCCTTTAATGCAAAACTTTAATGCGTGTTAGTTTCTTGGCTGCATCTACCAGGCCTTGAAACCTTTTCTGATCTAAAAGTAAATTGATGGTTTTACACTGGCATAGCTTTTGCCTTTGTCCACTAAACACAGTCACTCCGCTTTATAATATAGCTTGTGAAGCGCTTTGGGACGTCTCCCAACATGAGAGGCACTATATAGATCTTATATATCTAAACCAGGAACTTGTCTGTTTGCAGGAAAACTGTCAGGAATGAATGAAAATTCTACAAGCATCACGTGCGCACCACAGAATTCCTCTCGACAAGCAATTGTGCAGAAGCTAGTGAACGTGTCAAACCTTGGGGTTGTACCTTCGAGCCAGGATAATGTTCACAGGTAACTGGGCTTCTTACTTTGGTGCATTGGTCACATAGATAGCTATATAATTTCTGAAAATCATGACTTTCCAGAATAATCTACTCATGGTTTAATCTATTCACCTTGGAATCCCTCCTCTTCACCCCCTCTCTTACCTCCTTTAAGTCTCATCTAAAGACCTTCTTCTTTGCGCCTTGGGACGTCCTCCCGACGTGAAAGGCGCTCAATAAATGGAATGTTGTTGTTGTTGTTGTTGTTCTTTGATTGGACTGTGCCTTTGGCCTCCTTCCCACCCACCCTGCCCTCCACCCCTCCTGACCCCAACTCCCAGCTCGGATCCAAAAAACCTCAACTGTCCAGCGCCTTAGGACATAGAATCATAGAATCGTACAGCACAAAAAGAGGCCATTCGGCCCATCGAGTCTGTACCGGCTTTTTGAATAGAGCAATTAATGTCAATCCCACTCCCCAGCCCTTTCCCCATAACCCTGCAAACCCGTCCTCCTCAAATATCCGTCCACCGCATTTTTAAAAGTAGTTATCGAATCGGCCTCGACCACCCTTTCAGGCAATGCGTTCCAGATTCGAACACCTCGCTGCGTGAAAACATTTCTTCTCACCTCCCCTCTGCTTCTTTTAGATACTATTTTGAATCTGTGACACACCCACCAGTGGAAACAGTTTTTCCCTTTCTAACCTATCAAATCCCCTCATGATTTTGAAGACCTCTATTAGGTCTCCTTGTAACCTTCTCTGCTCCAATGAGAATAATCCCAGCATCTCTAGCCTTTCCTCATAATAAAGGTCCCACATGCCTGGTACCATTCTTGTAAATCTCCTCTGCATCCTTTCCAATGCCTTAACATCCTTCCTATAGTGTGGTGCCCAGAACTGGGCGCAGTATTCTAGCTGAGGCCTAACCAGTGTTTTATGCTGCTGCCTGACCATATATGTCCTTGGCAATTGATTACAATATAGGTATTAATACTTTGGGAACATTAACAAAATCATATTTACCATATTTTTAGGTGCTGAGGCATGCAATGAAATAACCCAGTAATGTTGGTATTAATAAATTATAAAACATGAATTGTACATTTTATTAAAAATGGCTAAATAAATGTCAGTTTGTACTGTACAATATAATAATAGCATAATATACTGAAATTAATATAAAAGCCGTAATGCATCTCAGTTTATGATGTTATATGAACACTGTTATATTGACTTTTATCCCAGCTATCACTTCCTAAACTTTCAATATGGATGTCATCATACACCAAGTATGTGATGTCTGTCTGTCTTCAGGATATAACACTGAATATGAATATCACAATATGATTAGACAGAGTCAACATGGCTTTACAAAAGGGAAGTCATGCTTAACAAATCTTTTAGATTTTTTTGAGGACATATCAAGTAGATTAGATAGGAGGGAAACAGTGGATGTAGTGTATTTAGATTTCGAAAAGGCATTCGATTAGGTGCCGCATAAAAGGTTGATTCACAAGATTAGGGCCCATGGAATTAAGCGGAATATATCAGCATGGATTCAAGAATGGCTAATGGGATGAAAACAAAGAGTAGGGTTAATGGGTCCTTCTCAGATTGGCGGGATGAGACTAGTGGAGTGCCACAAGGATCCGTGCTTGGGCCTCAACTATTTACATTCTACATCAACAATCTAGATGGGGACATCAAACTTAATATATCCAAATTTGCGGATGACACTAAACTAAGAGGGAGAGTAAACACTGAGTAAACATTAAAAAAATGCAACGAGATATAGATAGGTTAGGTGAGTGGCCAAATAGGTGGCAGATGAAGTATAATGTAGGGAAGTGTGAGGTCATCCACCTCGGTGGCAATAACAGTAGAGCAGATTATTTTTTAGAAGGGGAGAGACTAGATAGTGTTAGCGTTCAGAGGGATTTGGGTGTCCTTGTACACCAGTCACAAAAAGTTAGTTTGCAGGTACAGCAAGCAATTAGGAAGGCAAACGGTATGTTGGCACTTGTTACAAAAGGGTTAGAATATAAGAGTAGGGAAGGCTTGCCTCAACTGTATAGGGCCCTGATGAGACCGCACCTAGAGTATTGTGTGCAGTTTTGATCTCCCTATTTAAGAAAGGATGTACTCGCCTTGGAGGGGGTACAACGTAGATTCACTAGGTTGGTACCAGGGTTGAGGGGGATGCGTTATGAGGATAGGTTGAGCAATTTAGGCCTATATTCTCCAGAATATAGAATAAAAAGAAGAATGAGAGGTGACCTATAAGTTTATTAAGGGGCATGACAGAATAGATAGTGGGAGACTTTTTCCCCTGTTTGGAGAAACTATAACTAGGGGTCACAGTCTTAAAATTAGGGGTAAGCCCTTTCGCACTGAGTTGAGAAAAAACTTATATATGGAATTCTCTACCCCAAAGTGCTGTAGATGCTCAGTCCTTGAACATATAATAATAATAATAATAATCCTTGCATTTGATATAGCGCTTTTCACGTCGGGAGGACGTCCCAAAGCGCTTCACAGAATAGACTGTAAAGTGAATTGACTGTATATTTGTGGGCGAACGCGGCAGCCAATTGCGCACAGCAATGTCCCACAAACAGTCGTAGATTGAAAATGACCAATTTATTATTGTTTTTGGTTTTGGAGGGATTATTATTAGGCTCTGTGTGGAGTAAGGAAACTTGCCCAAGGTTTCGACCTCTGCCTGGAATTGAACTCAGGTCTCTCACTTGCAAAGCGAGTGCTCTAACCACTGAGCTACAGGACTCCACATATCCAAGACTGAGATTGATAGATTTCTTGTGGATAAAGGGATTAAGGGATATGGGGATAAGGCGGGTAGGTGGAGTTAGAATAGATCAGCCATGATCTTATTGAATGCTGGGGCAGGCTACAGGGGCCGAATGGCCTGCTCCTAATTCTTATGTTCTAACACAGAAGAGAGATTTGGGATGTATTAGTGGATAGGCAGCTGAAACCATAGCACGTTGTACACTGGGATTAAAGAAAAGTTTGATTTTAAGTATATGGCTAAAGGGATACAGCACTGAGATGACTATAGCTGAAACTAGCACCTAAGACTAGACATAGTCAGTGGACAGGCAGGAAAAATAAAGACTCAAGGATGATCGTATTGAGTTATTGAATGCCAAATTCAGTTCTAAAAAGCATTGGTAAAATGCACCCTTATAATGTTTGTCATGGTTGAACAGACTGTATATAGAGGCAGATTGTCAGCAAATTCAAGAGGGAATTAGATAGCTGTTTGGCAAAGAATTCAATTTGGGGATATGAGAGGTAAAGATTGTTAATTTTTAAAATTTATTCTTAACTTTGGGACCAACCAAATGAAGTGTAATGGTCTTTTCCAGTGTCTCTATGATTTGTCTTCTATCATGATCCTGTTAATTGGCTCAAAGAATAAAATCATCCCAGTGTGCCTACTGTATGTTATTTTTAAAAGGACCCAAATGCATGGGAGTGCAAATGAATGTTGAAACCTACTTGAGCATTGCATTTGAATAATATTGACATTATCTGTACCCCCTTGATTAAACTAATGCCTTGTAATCACTCCTGGGTATCTATTAATCTCTCTTTGATCTACTGTTAAATTATCAGGTTTGGCATAGTTAGTATACATCACTGATATTTCTCACAATTCAGAGGTAGCAAAAATATTGGTTTAGACACCTTGTTTCATTTTTGATCATGGTAAAACCATTATTTTAGTTATGATGCATTGCAAGACATCTTTTAAACCACATCTAATGCTTTATTAAAAGCACTTGATTTTATTTTGTTGTGACAGAGTTTATTCATTGGATTTTCCTCTGCATTGAAATGTTTTGAGAAATGTTATACCGAGCCCGTAAATAATTCTAAAATCTCCTTGGTTAAATACTGTAAATGTCAAAAAAATCTGCTTTTTTATCCCAAATTATCTAAATATTCAGCCAAGGCCGAATGTTTTTTTTAAGTTTGCCTTTGCACGAATACCTTGCCAGATTAAATCTGCCACAGCGCTATCTTTAAGGCTTCATGGGCCGTGCTGCATTGCTGCTGTGTGGAGTATAAGTCCAGCAGCTGTTCTGGCGTTACTGTGAAAGCCAAAAACTGCCTGTCAATTCACGTGGAAACTGCTGCAAATCTGAACAATGGAAAGGTTAGACTACGACAAAACAAATCTCTCAGGTTAAGTCTGATAAGTGCCTCTCCTTAAACTCCCATCCAATTTTATTATGGCTTGATAAAGTGTAAGTCTATTGCAGCATGCCTAATGAGTTCGCACACTCCAACAATTAAGGAATTCTGGTCAGAGAGCTCATTTTAGAATTCCTGCTTGATTTCCTGTATCCGGACAGTTTAATCCTTAATATTCTGCACAAGAAGCCTCCGTCACGTAAGAGATAGAGCCTGTGAGTTGGGGATAAATCCTAAGGGTTTGGTTAGAGTGAGATGCACTCAAAATAAAAATGATGTAAGGTCTGTAATGCCAAAGGTCTTTTATTTTGAGTGTAACTGAACTCTGGTTTAATTATCAGTCATGTATAGTCAATCAATCAAACCTGTTTTTTTACAGAATTGTATAAAAATAATTCTAATATACCAGGTCTTACATTTAATTACTTCCGTGACCTGGGATACCGGCAGCAGATTGTTAACTTCACGCAGGTTTTAAAGTAGTAATAGTTTACGTTGATATTAATAAACTGGCTTTGAAGAAGGTGCAGCCTCTAATTCAGAAATTGGGGTAATTACCACATCATTGTTTTTTATATAAAATGTGGAAGTGCAATAAAAAGGTAAAATGGTTGGAAAGTTGTAGGTGATCTTAGATTAATTGGCCAACGTGTACTGATATTGTGGTGAACTTTGAAAATTGTGATTGATAATACCATGACTACCTGCCTGCTAATAGGTGTTAGTCTTGAACTCTGAACAACAGAGAAATTCCATTACATTAGTAAAACATGGCCAGGCTGTTAACATCTGAACCACTAGGG